TTTTAATTATCTTATCTTACTATTTTATTGTGATTTGACGGTAAACAAATATAATAATTATTTTAATTAATATCACAATATGACGCAACTATACTATCTCATAGATAGGAAGTGTTGTTGTGTGGGCAGTTCACTTATGTAGGATCGCGTGGAGCTGCCTACACTTTGTTACAGATACACCGGATAGCAACTTCCTTTCAAGAATTACATTAGTCACCGCCAAGTGCTGAAATATTTACCCGTTAGGAGTCGGGTGTCGTTGCATAAGAAACATTACAATCAGTTTAACTTTTTTATAAGGGGCGCAGAAAATTTTATCCCTGTCACAATTGCTCAGTTCCTATCCGGTAAATGAACTGTAGGTTGGTTTCAAAAAGGTAACTGCCAAAATGGTCAGTTTGTTGGGTGTATGGGTGGGCAGTTCACTTATGTAGGATCGCGTGGAGCTGCCTACACTTTGTTACAGATACACCGGATAGCAACTTCCTTTCAAGAATTACATTAGTCACCGCCAAGTGCTGAAATATTTACTCGGTAGGAGTCGGGTATCGTTGCATAAGAAACAATACAATCAGTTTAACTTTTTTATAAAGGACGCAGAAAATGTTATCCCTGTCACATTTGCTCAGTTCCTATCCGGTAAATGGACTGTAGGTTGGTTTCAAAAAGATAACAGCCAAAATGGTCAGTTTGTTAGGTGGATGAATTTGATGTGCTGGTATCAGATCTCATTTACCGGTAAGTACTGCAGAATAAGAACTTCTGTGAAGAAGACGTGGCTACTGTTCTGTGCTACTTTGGGAACCAATATAGATTTCTCTAGCACTTAATTCTAGTATTTTTGCGCTAGGAATGTTTGATTACAGGAGATTAATCGAGACTCAATTTTGATTCTCTATTCAGCAACATAAAATACGAGTTCAAATCTTTAAGGGACATTAGGTGCTGTGGAGGGGAGGTGGTGGTTTAAATATCGTCTGGGAAAGATTCTAGGATGTTAGCGGAACTAGACGCATAGTCTTACAGAGATGCGTGCTGCCTCTCTCATCAGGGCAATTAATAGAATTTGGTTTAAAAAGTAGCCTCTACATAGAGGTATAGAGGTTTGTTGGTTAGATTTCAGATTCTGTCGGCGACGAATATGAAGATTGCTGTGTCTAGTGTGTTGCTTCGTGAAGAGTGGCAGTTTTCCGACGTTTCAGAGGTGCTTACTGCCGCCATTATCCAGGCGATGGTAGAAGCAACACGCAGAATATCAGTTAACGTGTGAAGAAACTCGCGTCTCTTTTGAACGAGAACTCTTCTGTCCTTTGTGTTATGACGCGCTCCTGATACGCGCACAATGTCTAAACGCGTATTTATTACAGAAGACAATTTTTTTGGAAAAGATCTCGTTACTGAAAAATCAGTTTAATTCTTCCTGGATTCTGACGCCGTTTTATATTCTGGATGGTTATTATCGTTTGGAAGCAACTTGCCGCCTCCATCTTCAGGACGTAAAACACGGTGTTGTAATACAAGTTTTCACTGCTATTGATATTTCGAATCTCAAGTGATGATAATTGCATTTGTGAACATTTTCTGTTTTACTATCCGAAAACTTATAACGTCATTTTGTAATAATATATATGTGTAAATGTACGTATTTAGAGTGATTGATGGTAAAAATATAAATTTCATAAATCTATGCATATGTTAACATATACTGCACTTATGTGTGTGTGCGCGCGTGCTTTCATTAATGTTTAGTTTCTCGTTAAATTTAAATTATACTGTAATAAACTATAATTGATAGATGTGACCAATATAACGGGATAGCATAACTTCGTATTTCGTTCATGTATTTCGTGTTTGAGTGTCCAGAATGAAATACAGGTCAAAGTTTCTACGTATTGATGGCCAGCGAAAGTTTCAGATCTCAAAGACGTGGCTAGAAACTAGACACATCGTTAAAGAGTTTCCTTCTGTTAGTTGAATAGCTCGAGCTTTCCGAACTAGACATTCCTCGTTGCTCAAAACTTTACGACCTTATGACGTCCAGTAGTTTTGTAACTTTTCCATCTAAAGACTTCGTTTTCCGTTCCATACAAAGCAAAACTGGTGGAGTGTGTGACTTGCATTATATTAGTTGTGGGTTATTAAGTTTGCGGAACAGTAGCCAACTATGTGAGATTGTAAAAAAAAAAAAAAAAATTAAAGCTAATTTCTTTGTATTTTATTAATACCAAATAATATTATTTGTTTCGCGAAAGCTAATATTTTAAAATAATTTTGTAGTATTTACCATCTTTTACCACATAAATATCTCGAAACTGACCTATCCTCAATATGTCAGTTGTGATCTCTTAAATTGTTCTTGAGTCGTCGTTAAACATCTGCATTCTACATCTTCACCGTTCTATTTCACTTATACCCGCTTCTAAATTAAGCTTTGCATTTTGATTTAAGCCCTTCTCGTATTTAAACAGAACTGCAGTGGTAGATCTGAAGCGACATAAATCAATTCAAGAAGGCATTAAGTATAAATATGCAAACAATTTGCTGAAAGGGAAGTACGTACAACAGTTTTTCATTTTATTGCTAACAATAGGAAATGAATTCTAGGTAAAACGTAGCAGTTGAAATTCTTTATCTCTGTGCCCATGGGAAGATATATCTACGTTTCGTACACAACAATAGATGATTGAATTCAGCCACGTTATTTTTAATCTCGGATGCAAACAGAATGACACTGGTCTGGTCTGTGGTAGGGATCGGTGTAGGACGCATGACTTTTTCATGGAGAAGGATAACAAAATTGTATGTCTGAAGGATAAAAGACGCCCCACTATGTCAGAACGAAATACAATTAAGCTTACATACTTAATAGTAATGTCTGTAGCAACTGTCAACTGTACAGCTGTTTAATTTTTATTAATTTAATTATTAAATTTCCGTCAAAATTACAAAAGGTCTAAAGTTGAAAACACAGACAAGATTATTTTCCCATAAGTCCTAAATCCCTTAACAGCAAATTATCCTTCATTAGCCATGGACATGTAGAAGGCATGGTTGTTATAATAATCGCAAACAGAGTTTAGTCTTGAAACGCGAAAGGAGGAGACAATTTGAAAGAACGGGTAATGAGATTTTATATCCTATAGAGTACGAGGATCTTTTTGACTAACTGAGATATTCACAGCTTCTCAGCAATGAGTGTGTCTCCATGGAGTTATGATTTGTAATTACGAAGTAGGCATGCATATTATTTGTCTGAGTACTGCACCAATACAAGCCCATTACCAGCGAGAGTTTTATGTCCAGTAATAGTCGACATTTCTAGAACAGGACGAGAAAGTCTGTGGTGTTGGATAATAGTACGTATTAGAAGGAAATGAGAGTTAGCCAGATTTCTGCAGTCACTACATTTCGGTGGTAGGAATTCGTGCAGTGGTTTCGTTTTAGTAAAATGATCCTACATTCGTGCACTAACTATCGTAGTACATGATGTTGCGTTCAACTAATGATCTTGTGTAGCTGCCAATGTTCGGATCGCTGAACGTAAAGATTTAATTACCAAACCTTGCAGTGATTTCAAACTCTGTAGCCTTCCTACAGTTTTTCATTAATGTAAGCGTTTTTAGACTCCGTTATTAATTCGTGTCTTGGTTTTTCGTGTTCTCATCGGCATGGGTTGTAGAATGTTAGGAACGGCATGAGTGTATTTGTGGGTCAGTGATGGCAAGCGTCTGTAACGGAAGAGAATGGGAGAGTGTATTACATAGAAGTGGACCTGATTCTTATTTAATTTTTGTAAAGCAGTAAGTGATTCGTATTTTATTTCGTTTTCAGTATTTTATAAGTCATTACATTACTGCAGTTTGGCATTTTCTTATAAGCTGTGTCTTCATTTAAGTAAAGTAAAGTTTGTCCCACTATACGCCATGTAGGCGCTTGGGGTGAGTGGAGGTATAGCTCCTCTCTTCCTTGACCTCGGCACTAGATGGGGGGTGAGTGGTCAGCATCACGCCTCGGCCGGCTTTACCCCCGGGAAAGGACCCCGGTACCCATTGTAGAGGAGGCTGGGTGGGTCCCAGAGCCGGTCTGGACGCAGAGGCTAGAGGAAAAATCCTCTGCCCCCGTCGGGGATCGAACCCCGGTCGTCCAGCCCGTAGCTAGTCACTATACTGACTGAGCTATCCCGGCTCATTGTCTTCATTTATGCCATGTCATTTAGTTCATGCAAATTCCCCATTCCA